ATGTTATCTTATGCAGGTCATATATTTTGGGCAGAACAGATATAGCTAACATAAGTTTGTTCTGTTGGATATTCTTACACTTCTCATTTACACTTAGAAGGCATTTTGTTGTAACTAAAGTGGCTGTTTTTTTCACAAATGCAGGCCAGTAAAGGCAACAAAATTTCTACAGCTCAGTGTCTGGTGGTCTGTTCCATCTAGGATGAACCACTGGCTGAGTTCATAATTGCACAAACAAACTCACTCTTCTGTTCCAGATTGAGCAAACATAGTGATTTGCAAGTGATTTACTGACAACTTCAGGTGAACATCAAGGCAGGAATAAAGCCAGCTAAACAGATACACACACACACACACACACACACACACACACACACACCCCTAGGGAATTATGTAGGCATGTGATATCTTATCTGTTGGTAGAACATAGAGTGGGAGACAGCCAATACAGAGCTGGAAGGGACCATGGTTGGGCTGGACAGAAGGCAGCCAATGTAGTGCAGGTTTAGGAAAGCAGGACGAGACAACAGTAGTGCAAAAACCAAATGCCAAAAAAGCAAGGATGAAACAATCCTGGTCCAGCAGCGGAGTATTGTTTCCAGTGGAGGGCTGGTCTCTAGCTGCTGCTCTTAAATAGTCCAGCTGCAGAACCAGATCATTTATGGGCACTGCTGTTTTGCTTCTGGAGGAGCTGAACAGATCACCCTGCTGTCCAAATCTGCCAAGTCTTGGGTCTAAGTGCCATGCCAGGATCTGTTCCTCTTGGCTGGAATTCTGGCTGAGTCAGCTTCAGATAGGAAATTGCCTCCTGGTTTCTGTGGTACTTGATGGATCAGGCCTTTCAGCCTCTGATGAGTCGTAACTCATAATACCTGCAATATGTTTTAATTTCTGCTTGGTGTGTGAACCCACTGTGATTTGTAATTCATGAACTATGGCAGAATCACAAGTAAACAAAGCCAGTTGATGCTTAAGCAAATCATGGCTTTGTACAATATAAAATCCCTATCTATATCATGTGTGGTCAAGATTGAACTATAAATGGTAAAACCTTACTGCTGAATTGGCATCAACATTATTTATAGCTTACTTTAATTGAAAAAAAAACCCCAGATTTTTTTTGCTTTGTTTACTCATGACTCTGTCCTAGTTCATGGATTACTCCATCTCCAATAATCAAAACAAAAAAACCCCCCAGATTTTATTTCTGTTTTGATTATTGAAGATTGAGTAGACCCACTGCTACCTTAGTATAGTAAATGTTTTGGCAGCTCTCGAGAAACATGTGATGACAGTTCTCTTGAAGATGAAAGGGATTATCACATAATGTTGTAAGTACCAGATTGGATGCATTGCTGAATAGGTGACCTCAGCTGGAAAGTTGTGATAAATTTGTGGATGTCTATAATTAATTTACTGAAGACTGCCTTTAGCATAACATAATGTATGAAGAATCTCATCCTCACTAACCAATTTCCATGTGAGTCAAGCAACAGAAAAAGGTCTAGTAGTTTTCTTGTATCAAATTTTATTAATGTTTTAAACTGTCCCATCAGTATGCAGATAATAGCCAGGCAAATTAAATAATGGGCCAGGCAAATTAAATGATGCTGTCTAAGTCTGGTTCCAGTGTTAGAAAGCTGTGCTGGTCTGGATTGGGAAGAATGGACTCAGGCTCAATCCTGACAAAAATAAATGGCTAGAAATCTTGAGCACCCTGCTTTTCCATATTTGATCTTGGATGGAATTGCACCAGGTCTGGTGTGCAATTTGTGTCATCTTGAACTCAAGAGCTCCTGCTCAGAGTAGATGGCAGCTGGGGACAATAGGGTCTTTACACCAGTTGTCCTTTCCTAAACTAGGAAACCTCTTAGACAGTCACTCTCTCCTAGTCACCTAGAAGTGGGGATGCCCAGTTGGGGGGTCCTTTTATGTCCCAGTAGGAGCTGGAGTGAAGGACAGGAACTCACCGTGCCCCACGGACGCACTCAGGGCTCTAACGCAGGCTTGCTGCTTGTCAACCATGCAAGCCACCGTGCTCCTAATAGTATGCATACCCAACTGCAGACACTGCCTAATTGGACTAGGTGGATGGAGACAGGTGGTCTTTCATTTGCAATATTAGATATATAAATTCAGTGTAGATATGTATATGCATTAGTTATACCGAAATGATGAAAACAGTTCTAAAGTTCAAAACAGAGCCAAAAATTAAAAACCAGGATCAAGTGCATTTGATAAAGTTGAATTACTCTCATTGATCTATTATTTAGTAGAAATTCTAATGCAAGTTTCAATAATTTTCTTTTATATTTGAAACTATTTGTCTTTGCATTTTAATATATGAGGAAACGTGGTTTGCTTAACCTTGATTTAGCATGTTGCGTGATCCAGCCAATTGTGATCAAACAGCTATGCAAGCAAGAGTGTTCTTATGAAATGCTAAACTGCATTTAGTAAGGCTGTGCAGCTCTTAAGATTCAAATGGAGGTGGTGATTCACAGCATGATTGGGTACATACGTAATAGTTGTCAGGATTACCTTCACTAAAGGCATCTTTTCAGTGATTGCAACAGGACTGGTATAGTCTTGATTTAGCAACTGCCTCAGACAGCAACCATTTGCAGTTACAGTGGTGATGAAAATGTAACTTTACCACCAAGGCCCACATTTTATGGCCTTTGTAGCACCTCTTCCCGAGTCACATGATCAGCATTACAGTCAGTTGGTACAGATATTGGCCTGTACCCATTTTTTTCCCCCCATCAGGGTGGGAAAATTGCTTAAACAAGGTATCCCTTTGTGAGCTAAAGGCAATTTAACAAGCTCAGCTCAGTTACCTTAATTACAGTTAATTAGAATCCTCCAGCCAGGTAGCAGGTGTTGCCTGAAATTGACAAGACCCTAATCAGATTCATATTAAAGGCTTTTGACTTCTTCTTAAGCAGCTCATGGAGGATCTACTAGGCAACCAGTTGATGTGCATTCGATGTGTGTGTGCCTGCTTACTCTCTCACAATAATTTCCTCTCCAATAAATGTAACATCAATTCTCTTCTTGCTAAGTATCCCAGGGACCGAGTGAGATCCCGAAGGGTAAGGGAATGGGAGAAAAGGACTATAAGAGTTGCTCTTTTTAGCAAGCATCATCATGGAAAAAGTTCTAGAAACCTTCCCTGTTTGGAGTTAAATCCTCTTGATGCTGTAACACAAGGGGAAGGGAACGTAAAATCATACATATTCATGTGTTTTTTCACTTAGATATCACTTTGCTTAACAACTGAATTGCTGGTTCCAATCCCTAAACAGTGATAGATGAATCTGCCTAACCCAAACAGATTTTTCCTGACCAGTCCTAGTGAACAGAGTGGCTCCTGGTTCTCACCTAATGAGAAGTAAGGTTTGGAGGGGACTTAAAAGTAGGATTCACATCTCTCAGGTGAGGAAAGCTCCCATTTTAGTGGCCGTTCAGAAGCTAGTAAAATCATGGTTGTTCTAAATCCCTGTGGCCCTAATTAGAAGGAAATAATTAATTCTGAGATGTGTAAATATTCTCAAATTATTATATTTCTATAAATTTACTATTGCATTGGATTGTTGCTGTCGCATTTGTGAATCACACAGAATCTTTTAAGGCAATGTAAACATTTTACATGTAAATTATAAACAAACAAAAGGCATCTATTTTAAGGCCTGTCTGTAAAAGTCCTGTATGGGTATCAGTGTTCCAAATGTTTCCATTTGAACCTGAAGTACTACATAGCCTTATAATTTAAAATTACTGGATAAACTGTAGCAGATCTTCAACTTGAAGGTCTCTCCTATGGATTGAGCAGAAACCTCTTTCACTTTAGATTAACTATCTAAGGTAAATCTAATATAAAAAAGTATATGTAACTAATTTTAAACATCTTTGATGGAACTTGTGTGAATCATAGCATTTTAAATTGAAATGGTTGACTCATTCCAAAATTAGTTAATCCTCTTCTGATTTCTAGCAAGGAAACAGCTAAAGATATTGTTAAGCGATAAACAATTTGCGTGATATTTAGGATCACAAGAGAGCCAATTTGGTACAGGGATTAAGGCTAGAAACTGGGAAACTGTGAGTTCTAGTCCTTTTCTAAGGCATGAAACTAGCTGGGTGATCTTGGGCCAGTCTCTCTCTCTCTCTTTCTCCTTTTGACTTGGGTAGAAGACAAGGGCAAAGCACTTCTGAAATCTTGCCTAGGAAATTCACCAGAAGTCAAGACAACCCCAAAGAGGCACGATGGCTCAGTGACTTAATGACACTGGAGATGGTCTCAGCTCCGGCCATTAGAGCCCAAGCACTGTGTGATATGAGTTCCTGTCACAGCTTCTGTCCACCTAACAGTTCAAAAACTTGTTCTATGCAAGTAGATAAATAGGTATCACTTCAGTGAAGAGCTGAGCTGTATTTTGGGCAGGCAATCAGATTCCTGACGGCTCTGAACCTTCCTGTTCGCAGTGTCTGTTTGGGAGGCAGCTCCGTGAGGGAAAGGAGCCTTGGGTGATGGTGCAGGAAGAGCAGCTTATCTTTCTCTCTGATACGAAGGCAGTTTGTCTTCCTGTGGCGCTCCTTGGGAAGCACGCTAGCATGTCCTATAACAGAGTTGGTGCCTTGACAAGCCAAACTACTACTCTGCAATAACATTTTGGTCTCCTGGCTACTATAACAATGCCATACGCTAATAACAACAACACAACCCCACAGCATGGCCAATATTTAGGGACGATAGTTGTTATATTCCAAAACATGTAGAAAGCATTAAATTATACAAATGTTTCCAACCAGAGAAAGACAGTAAGCCCAAATTCAAGTTTTATGCAGTCATAATCTATAAATAGTTCAATCAGTATGTACTTCTATATAAATCACTTTTAAAAATGAATATTTATTCTCCCCAAGAGTTCTTATAGAAGTCTTTGGAACAGTGGGATTCTGCCCCCCTCCCAGCAAGATGATAGAATAACTGAAACAAGGCTTTAATTTTTTTAATAAAAAAATATTTACAATTTAACATGATTTTTTTCCACATTAGTTAAATAAGACAACCTACATTGAAAATTTGTTCAGTTTGATGTTAAAATTCCTGAGCTAAATTGTATAGGTAAACTGAATGCATTAATTATAGCAGCAGACAAAAACAGTTTCTTACTAACACTGCCAGCAAAACAAAACTATGATGAAAAAGAGTGCCAAAATATGAAGGCACAATTGATCTAACTGGAAATATGCATTTAGCTTTATTTCATCAATTTACATTCAGCCACTGTCAGACAACATAACAATGATGTAGAGATCCCTGGCTTTCAGGATCAAAATTTTTAATATTCTTTTTCTTAATTTTTAAATTTTAGTGGGTAAAACCTTCACAAGACTTTGGGGAGTTTTCAACTATCCATACCCATTGCATTCACAGAAACTGAGATATTCTGGAGCTATTTTACATTTTAATTAATGCTACAATGAAGACCAAAATTACATACATTTGCCACCCTGGCTCTATTAAGCTTGGGCAATCCTGGCCTATATTGCAGTCAAAGTGTTTAGAAGACTTAGAAAAGAAAAACTGGTACAGTATACCACCTCTACCATCTTAACAGTGATAAAACAGAAAATCTGTTTTACACCATAGAAGACATTTCCACTTCAAATTCTTTAAATAACACACATGAAACATACAGCAAGAGACACTGGCTCCTTATTAAAGAAGCAAATTCCATACTTTCCCCTGGTTAGTTTAGGTTTTGAAAGTATATTTTCTGAGAAATCTTGTAGATGAACAATGTAAAAGAGTATTTAAATCCAATAAAATCTAATATACAAATCTAGGTTCCAAAATTTGTGGAAATATAAAACACAGAAACTCTAGAAGTTGCAGTTAACACATAAATAAAAATAAAATTATAATTATAAATCAAGTTCTTCCCCCATAGAAAGTTTAAAACTCAAAACTGTTCCCATAAAGGTATTTATTACTGTAATGTAAGCTTCTTACAAGAAGCAAAACACATTTGACTTCTTGGTTCCCAGTCACAAAACCAATATGCTATAAATTTATTCTGGCCAAGAAAGCAACTGTTAGGCTAATTCTCTATTTATGTGTGCAAAAAAAAAAAAAAATTTAAAAACTGAATATAGGTAAAATCAAGATCAAGAATCATGTGTATTTTTAGTACTACCAAATAAATTAATGTGCCAAATTTATATTGCTTTGTTGCACTTGCACTTAATGCAACACTGACAAGAAATCAAAGATGCTGAAGATTATGAAAATATATCCACAAAATTGGACTTTTGATCAAGTCTGTTAGATACAACTTGCTTGATGGGAATTTCTTACAAGAGTAGCTGATCTGTTTCTCTAACGCATTTGTGATGCATCAGCCTTGTCCTTATGACCCCTGAGCAAATTCATGGAGCGCAATATGAAGATTTTTGAAAGCCTCTTGGAATAACTGGGTTTGTTGCAGCGCAAACCACATTATACTCTTTTGTCTCTGCTTTTACTATCTTCTAATGTAGTAGTTTTCATGTTATCCAGAATAGTGAGGCAGGAAGTAACTTTTTGCCCAGACACATTCAGTCCCGGGACTGATAGAAGAGAATATAACCAGATTCTGAGTTTTTTGAGATATCTGATGTTAACCCGTAGAAATCTTCAATAGCTTGGGCATCTATTTTCTGAAATAAAATAGAGGCGTATCGATTTCTTGAAAACAATAATTTGTAATTTTGTAGCAAAACTATGACTTTAGCACCAACATATTAAAAAATAATTTGTCACTTACAGCAACCAAGATATTTACTAAGAAAAACATGCATAATTGTTATTTTTTGGTAAATAACAGATCTATATCAAGAGCAACAAATTAAATTGCTTCCAAATATTTCCAATTTTGATCATTTAAAACCAAATAGCAAAAACCTAAGTTTAATGAATACATTTTACAAGCAATGAATCATAATAATTCTTACCTCTACGATGTCATCATCAAAGAGCAGCCAAAAATCATGACTCTTTACAATAGCAATATAGTGTCCTCTGTTGGGTCCACTGTGAAAAGAAAGTAATTAATGCTATGTCATTTTCAAATTCAATTTTATGTGGGGGAGGGATTAAATAAAATGATACTACAGAAAATCTTTGATTAGTCGTATTGCTTTTTTCTTAATAAACCAATATAATCTTTACTAAAGATTTTATTTGAAGAAAAAAACGTGAAGAACAATTAAGCCAAAGACGGGAAGGTAGTGGAAAAAGTGGTTTCCTTACAGCTCCAAAGGGTCCTTGATGAAACTGATTATCTTGACCCCTTTCAGTTGGGTTTCGGACTGGGTTATGGGGTGGAAATGGCACTTGTGCATGATTTCTGGTGAAAGCAGGATAGAGGTAGTGCAACCATCCTTGCTCTCCTTGATCTCTCAGCAGCTTTGATACCATCAATCACAGTATCCTTTCGGGCCGGCTACGTTTGGGGCTGGGTGGCACAGTATTATGCTGATTCAGCTCGTTTTTCTAAAGACAGTCCCAACCAGTGTTAATAGGGAATGAGAGGTTCAGCCCACCACCACTCTTTTGTGGGGTGCCACAGGCTTGGTACTTTCTCCACTCCTTTTTAACATTTACATGAAATGGATGGGCGAGATAATCTGATACCATGGGATGAGATACCATCAGTATGCTGATGATATACAGCTTTACATCTCCATCGCTGCTGATCCAAACGATGCTGTCATTGCCCTTTCTGGAAGCTGCTGGGATGGCTGGAGACTGGAGGGATCTGGAGGGGGGAACAACAGGCTTCAGCTGAACCCAGGCGAGACAGAGTAGCTGTGGGTGTAAGGAACCTTAGTATCCAATTGCTTATCATTGTTAACTTTGGATGTGGTTGCACTACCTCAGACAGAGGTTATAAGGCTGTTAAAAGTAACATTTAATGCACTATTGGTCATTATGGTAGTGATCATTAGGCCAGGATTGTACATCATTAGGTGAGAAGCTCATGCTTCTTTTGCTCTGCTACACTCACCACCATTTTAATTTCCCCTACCCATTTATCACCCTTCCCATGTCTGCCCTCTGGGCTACTCTGTACTCTACCACCTCCAGCTGACCTTCAGCTTCTCCTTCCTCCAGTTGCTGAGTTGCACCAGGCCTGACTTTTTGCAAGGTGGCTGCAGGCCATGCAAGCTTTCAGGAAGGCCCTACGCAGCTGCCTTGCTCATGATGGGGCCAGGCTGAATGCATCTCATTAGCAATAGGAGGAAGAACACAGTGAAGGTCAGCTGGGGGTAGGAGAGGCTATAGATACAGGGTGAGGTGGGCAGCAGGGGGAGTGTTGCACAGGAATGGTAGGCACAGCAGAGTGTGAGGTGGCAAAGTGCAAGATGATGAGGGTGGAGGAAGAACCAAAGAATGATGAGGGCAACAGTGAGGACGGCAGAACATAGACCACTGGGGGCAGCACAGAACAGGACAGCCAAAAGGGCAGAGATGGGGAGGGGAGATGTGTGTTGTTAATTGAGGACTTTCTGTATAAAAATGCTGCTGTCAACGCTGCAAATATTGTATATTCTTGCTTTTGACAATATGCAGAATTGTCTGGTAATTATGGGGTTAATACAGAGCAGAAGGGGGGGTGGGGGTAAAACGGGGAAAGAAAGAAGAAGAAAACATTTGACCTTCACACTAATTGGATGTGAGATATAAGGCTGATTTAGGGAAGGAACATGCTGATAATTTAACTGCTCAGAGGAAGAGAACTTAGATCCTAGCATCCCTCCATTGTGCCTGTGCCGACATTTTGTAACAATAAAAGACTTTTAGGAAAATAATGCCTGGAAGTTCTTTGAAATGTTTCATTAGCCGGAACCATAACAGCTGCTCTATTCTACCTTAACAACCTGACTACTGCTTACTATTACTTTGAAGACAAAAATTTTGAAGAAGAAATACAATTGGTTGCTATGTCGTAGGTTGCCACCTATGTAATACTTCGGCATTCCAGATTACCCAGCCCGTGGGGGGAATAAACCTGTATCACTGAGATAAGAATAAGGAGTGAATTAAGAGGATAGAGTTACATGGATGCATTTCCTCATCTCATTTATACATCCAGCACTAAAGTCACTTTACGTATGTAATAAATTTCAGACTTTGTTTAGGATTTTAGCATATATACATAGCACTATTTTCCAATTAGTCAACAAAAAACAGATTGTAATTGTTACCTGCCACAGTGAACTACCACTGCCACAAGATCATACATTCTGTCAGGATTTGTGGCATCACCAGATGTATTAAACAGTCGAAGTTCTAAAGGGAATACTACCCTATAGGAGAGTTTTGTATATCGATGTAGCTGGTCCATGTATTTAAATCTTTTCAAATGGAGAGCAAGAATCATAGGCAGCTTTTTTACTTTCATTCTGAAACAAAAATAAATTGATCACCACATTTAATTAGATTTCAAAGTCTATTTTGCTACCTGTCTGCAAAGTCATAAAAAATTAATCAAATTCTGTTATCTATTATCTCAATATTACCATTTGCTGAAAGTTTACACAAGGCAATGACCTCATGCAAAAACTTAAAATATGCAGTTAATTATATATATTGCTAACATTCAAAATAAATGCAAATAGTACCTTTTGTGTGCTTCCTGTTTACTGCGACACTCTTCACAGTAATATTTATATTCACTGCACAGGGTTTCTGTGTTGCTGAAACCCCTAAAACAGGGGAATAAAAAACATTAAGAAAATTCAATGTTTGAATAAATTATATTGAAAGACCAATAACTATGAATTATCTCACTGAAATATTTTTATACTGAACTGATATTTCATATTTGAAACACTATGTACTAAGTAAGTTCAAGTTCAATTAAGGAAGAATATTAAAAGTGTTATGAAGTCTATTAATCTAAAACTGGTCTAATAAAACCATTTTACTTACTTTATCTCAAATAGATTTATATGCTTACGAATCAGGGATAAGTTATTACTCATACCTTAAACAATGTGTGATTGAAGTATTTTGTTCCACATCAACAGAAAGATCTAAAAAATCTTCATCTTTGCTGCTTATCTGCAAGTTAAAATAAATTGTATAATCATCTATTTATGTACATTTTTGAAAGACTTTAAACTAAGAATAGATGAACTAGCAATAAAAATCAATAATGGTAATGATGGTAACTAAACTTTTAACAAAATTTCACTCTTTTTAGAGAAAGAATGCTATTATTTTCATCTCTCCATTTCTTAATATTTCACTATTAAAAGCATGGTAAATGCCATATAATTTCAGGGATCTTCTTTTGATTTCTTCTTTCACACAGAAAAAAAAACTGATTCACTTCTCTTGAGTACTTCAGTACTCATCGTAAATTGGTTCTGGGAGGCGTGATAAGTACCAAAAATGATGTGTACCAAACAAATTTTTTCCATAAGGAATAATATTTTCATATTCACTCTTTCTGAATGCTATATGTCACCAAATTTTTTTATATTAAACATTTTGGTTACATTACTACAAAAAAGTCCTTGCACGCAAATAAACATCTGTTGTTCAATTCTATTAAGCCAGACTATGAAAAAAAAGTTTATTGAACTCACACAAAATTCAAATTCATATCAATATTTTATATTCAGCTTTTGATCCACTGCCAAAAGCAATATTTGCTTTTATACATCATCGGATCAGGCAAGGGAAGTTATGCCAGAGACTCTGTCAGCCAAAGAATTCCAACTGGCAGGATCCAGGAAGAGAGAGTTGTCTTCTCTTGCCTCTGCCTTCTGGAACATTCTTCCAGAGTCAGGCCTTTTGGAAGGTTGTGAAAACATGGCCCTGAGGTCTTGCTTTGGGTGCACACAGGAACACATAACCATGAGGCTGGTTAGCATCCTGAAAGACCTCTCTCCCCTTTCATTAATTTTTAACACCAAATTTTAATCATCCTTGGCTCTTTTAAAATTTATATACTGTTTTAATGTTTTATTTGTACATCACCCAGAGTCCCTCTGCAAGGGAGATGGCCGGTTTCAAATTTTGATAAATACTGAAAATTAAGACAGATTTGTAGACGATGCTTACAGTTTCACAGGTGAGACACCTTGTTTCATTGGTTAATGTTCCCTGGAAGATTTCATGAACCCATGTGGGATCTGGGGAATTACTGTTTTCACTATCAATGCTGCCATTAGGTAGACGACCATTCTGTTTCTCCTGTTTTTTCTCCTCTTGCAAAATATCTGCCACTGTATTCAGCAAATAGTTCAAAAATTCATGTGCATCTTGCTGCATATAATTGTCAAACAGCTCTACAAAAAAAATTGATACCTTTAATCTACTGTAAATAGATTTAAAAAGCAATTGCTGAGAACAAACAATGTCAGAAAGTTATTATACACATCCTAGCTAACTTTCTATAGCATCTAGTTTGCCACCGTATAAAAGAGCGTTGAGCTACCTAAGCTTTGAGGTTGAATTTTGTTCAACATTCCAGCCTCAGTCTCCCAACTTTACTTCATATATTTAGTATGATCCAAAACAACCTAAAACAGGGGTGTCAAACTGCCAGCCCGCGGGCTGGATGCATCGTACCAAAACCACGCCCACCCCATTGCCAGTAATGGCAAAAAAGTCGCAATACATCATGACATGTCACATGACGTTGCAAGTTTGACACCTCTGCCCTAAAACAAACTGCAAGAGGCTGGAACATATATTTCTGGACTCCTGTACATTACATTATTTCAGGTGTGTTATTGGAACTTGGTTCTACATATATTTAAAACTTTCAAAAATGGGGGAGAGGTGTTCCTTTTTATTGCTGGAATTGTTATAGAAACATATTGTATTGAACACTCAGCATGGCCAGCAATGGAACACTGATCCCATGAAAGCTAAGACCTTAAATGTTTTTCTGTGTATCTTGCATTTAACCATACAGTTAAGAAAAAATGCTTAAACAAAAAATGACTATTACTTTATCTTTCAGAAGCACTACTCATTTTGATTCGTAGTATGAAACTGCAATCACCTGAATCCATAATAAAATGCTAACATGAATCTAAAAATCCAAAATGAAAAACACATACTTCTGCTTGTGATACAGTTCTCTGGCTCTTTCAAATTGTTGTTTTTTTAATATTTTTTTTCAGTAATTGATACATGGTGTTTTGTTCCTCACAACTGCTTAATAATCTGAGAATTTAAAAATCTCTGTAATTCATGTATGTGCTTTTCTTAATTAAGCAGATATTGAATCTAATTACTAAAATGATATTCTTTAGAAAGAAACAGAAGGTGTACTCGCAAATATAAATGATTTGTTCAAAGGTTGGTCAAATGAAATAATCATGAGTTCCTTATACCATGCAAAACATCTTCACAATGCAATTGTATTTCAGGAGCAACAACAAACTAGAGAAACAAATAAGTCTCCATCTGGTCTCTTGTAAAAAAAAAAAAAGTTTTCATCCTAACAGAATTGAAGAATTTCACCAAAGTCGCAAATGTATAAAATAAATAATTACGGTATCTATCTGAACAAATGTTCAATTCTAGTTGAACAGTCATTTTTAGAAGATGTACAATTTATGCTTCTGATATTGGCACCAGTTTCATTTTATCTCTCTTGCTTAATATTTGTGTGAAGCTAAGTCATCTGGAGATTTCATCTTCATTTCAGTTAAAATAAACTGAATAGGTGCCTGGAATTAGTAGATAACAGAAGTTCTGTGAATGAAGTATCCCTTAATTGTGGATGATAGTGTTTCACTTGTATTGGATAGAGTACCTAGTCTAGTATGCTAGCTGTGCATTCTTGGGTAAGGAAGAGAACAACTTATATCTGTGAGCTCTTATTTTCAGTAAGTTATTCAGTGGTCTATTTTTGTAAACTACAGTTACTTAATTGTGATCGCATTTTACTAATAGGAAAAATCTTTAGTATCTACTAATCCACTTCTAAACTCTATTCAAAACACTGGTGTTTACAGTAAATCATAATAACTTTGGCTTCCTTAGGGATTTTCAACATGTCATCTTCTGTGTTACCATTTAGACACCAAGTTAAGACTGGTTTTGTTTACTAGAATATTTTTATTATATTAGCTGTGTTAATCAAATTCAGTTGTAGTCTTATTAAAGTTTTACTAAGTGCTATTTTACTGAAATTATGTCTTCAGGCAATTTTTAATCTTTCTTAAATCAGATCTTATTTGTTTAAAATAAATGTGTTGTAAGGAAGACTGACTTTGGACTTAGAGAGAATAAGACTTTTATGACAATATTAAAGATTTGGATTTTGAAGATCAATCCAAGTAAGAATATTGAATGATGGAGAAAAAAAATGCCCATTTTATCATTAAATTAGTTAAAGGCAAAGTCTTCACAACAATAAAATAAAACATTACCATTCTCTTTCCGTAGTCTTGTTATAAACTTTTTAGGAGGTATCACTCCAACTTTCTTCTTCTGGGTGGCTATACTGTGGAAGAGATCAGCTAAGCAGGTGAGAAGACTCTCTTTTTTTCTGGGCTGACTCTTGTATGCCAAGACTTTCTCTCGAAATGGTCGACAAAAATAAAGTGCCTGAAGAACTGAATTACAGTAGCATGTATTTCCAAACTAGAAAACAAATTGACAATTTAGACTGACAAAAGTCAGCAAGCAAATGGCATGCAGAAAGCAATTTGCTAAAGCATATTAATGATTTTTGGATTCTGAAGAATAACATAATCCATGAATTAGGGATAAATATAATGGTCAGCAAGCATACACATGTTTACTGCCACGCAACTTAGATTTTACTTATATTTTATATAATACTTTTGTATTTCTACAATTGATTTGCCAAGTAATTCTGAAAAACCAACCATTAAAATAGAGAATTTTCTTAACATTCTTGATATCCAGCAAGTGCAAACTGGTATGTACAAAATATTAGTATTGTACATGAACAAAAACCAAAACATACCCAACATGTTCCTGAAATTGATAATTTGTCCATTTTTACTTTTATTAAGGATTTTCCAATTAATTTGCTAGGAACTATACTGTTCTAAAAATATTATCTTAGCATATAAATTAGGTTACAGTTATGAATAATTTGTGATCTATACCAAAATTAAATACATTAAACATTATTGTTCATTAAACTGAATTAATTAAAATTAATTAAATAATATTATAGTCTCTTTTATTATTATTTTCTTGCAGCTATAAATCTCTAATGTACTGGCAAACAATTTTTCAACAACTTTCTTATTCTACATGATTAATTCCATTTATTTTTTGAAGCAACCAAAATATGAAACTTACATTTACTAAGCCAAAATAATGTTCATTGACTGGGAATTGTTCTGGACCAATTTCTTTCTCTAAGGCTGAGGCATTAGCGCCCTAAGAAGAAAAAAAAAAGTATTTAGAGGCCAATTGTTAAACTATTTTCTTGTATAGTTTGACTATACAAGTTAAGTACTTTACTGAAGAATTAACTAAATAAGTTGTGGGAAGCAATAATAATGGTATAATTTATAACATTTTGTAAGATATAAAATTTCAAACAAATTTGATTAATAAATGAGTTTATGGTGTACCAAAAAGGAAATTAGACTGGCCTGGCCATTGTTTCCAGCTTAATTTTTCCTATAATTCCAATAGAAATCCATAAATTGCTCTTATTAGATACGGTAGAAAGAATATTCATCAATGTAATTAGCATTTGTGTGTATATAGGTGGGTGAATCGTATACCAGGCATCTATAATTATGGTTGATGTTACTATTATAAACTTATGATTTTTCCAATCAGGTATATTCCTAACATTAATGGACTACATTTTAATTTTCTAAAATTAAAAAAATTCAAAAGAGATTATAGAGCCAAAAGATAAAAATCAGAACCCAAAGGTAAAAAACACTAGAAAAAGGAAATTATTGAATTATATTTAGCATATAATGCAGCTGATATGGTTAATATCATTTACACTACAAGGTATTTTCAGTTAAGAAAAATTGTTAAGGTATTTTCAGTTAAAGTATAAATTGTCAATTAATATAATTGTTAGATTAAATAAATAAAAAGAACCCAAATGATAATGTTTAAATTAATAAAAATATTTCAAATTGTTATATTTTGAACCTTTTTTTCTAATAACATCTATGCTTGCACACATACGATATATTATTCCTGCACTAACGTTTCTGGATAGAATGTAAGATGCCAGGCTATCCCTTAAACAGAAATATTTTTCTAAACTTATTTCTGATACCAGAATTTTAGAAGAAATACATTCAGATAGCCCTTGACCTACGACAATTGAGCCTAAAATTTCTGTTGCTGAGAAAGACACTTGTTAAATGAGTTTTCTCCCATTTTATAATCTTCTTTGCCACAATTGTTAAGTGAATCACTGCAGTTGTTAAATTAGTAACATGCTCCTGCTTTCCCATTGACATTGCTTGTCAGAAGGTTACAAAAGGTGATGACCTGACCCTAGGGCACTGCAATCATCATAAATCTGTGTCAACTGCCAAGTGTCTGAATTCTGATCACATGACCACGGGGATACTCAACGATCATAAGTATGAAAAACAGTCATAAATCACTTTTTTCAGGGCTGTTGTAACTTTCACTAAATGAACTGTTTTAAGTCAAGGACTCTGTATTAGAAGAATAAAGACAAGACTTGTAAAAGGGCAGGGTAAGTAGTTTCAACAAAACATTCAACAAAGTCACACATGATATTCTACTAGAGAAGGTGACAAATGTGGGTTGGGCTTTATTACCATTAAATGGATATAGAATTGGATGCACAATCATATTCAATGAATATACAGTACCCTGCCTCAAACTGGAGGGAAACATCAAAGGAAATATCAGAGCTTCTAGGACCTGAATGAATGAGGAGTCAGAAAATATGATAATCAATTCTGCAGATAACACAAAATACAGAGAAGATGATGACTTAGCTAACATTAGGACAGTATTAATAAGTTGTAACATTAGACAAAAACCTAAAAGGTGAATTTTAACAGCAACAAATGCAAAGTTGTTGATCTGGGTAGGACACAGCAAAGACATAAATACAGGATAAGAAGGGCACATAGTGTTCAACAGTATATGCAGAAAAAAAATCTGGGCAACATAATGGATCACAACCTGAACATGAATCAACATTGTGATTCAGATGTAAAAAAAGCAAAATCCTCAGTACTGAATCATGACCAATAGAAATAATTTCTTTTCTCCATTTTGCATTAGTCAGATTGTTCCTAGGACACTAGATTCAAGGTACTAGATTTTCAGAAGAACATTGATAAACCAGATTATGTCTAGAAGAGAGCAACAAAAATGATAAGGGACTACAAAGAGAAACTGTTAAAGGTATTGTATGTGTTTAGCCTGCAAAGCAGAGAGTGTGAGGAAAAATATGATAAGGGCAGCCCTTGTTCAGTGACCACTTGTTCAGCTACCATTTGGAGTAATGACAATGCTGAATGAGGAGACTTACAATGTTTCTCATAGTTGCAGCTGTCACAGCATCCCCATGGTAACGTAACTGCAATTTGGGCACTTGGCAACCGGCTTGCAATTACAACAGCCAGAAAATTCTGCAATCAAGTGATCACCACTTACAAGTCTCACTGCTGGTTTCCAACAAGCAAAGCCAATGGGGAAGCCAACAGGAGATGGCAAATGGCAATCATGTAACCAGAGGATGCTGCAACATTGTAGGATTAGCTTAATAGTGGCACCCAGAGCCCTAACCCTTACTCCAAGTGGCTCACATAATTTGGAAATTATTAATTCTGCCATTAACCCAGCCTAGAACTACTTTTTTTTTGCAGCCCCATCACATTTTAAGCATATTTTTGACTCACAATCAACTACTTAATATTACTACTAAGTCAATTACTCCATCCTACACTTCATTTTGTTTCCTACTTGGAAAATGTTTTAGTGGCATATGATAAATTTCAATATGTTACTTCAGTCCACTTTTTTAACCTGCCAAGATCATTTTGAAGTTTGTTTTCTGAGCTATTAACCCTCCTTCAATTTTGTACCATTTGCAGCTTAGTAAGCATTTCTTTCATCCAACTATTAACACAATTATTGATGAAGTACATGCAAAATGTATCCTTGTGGAAACCCAATGAATATAACTTTATTTTTATTAAACCTATGTAGCTATACTGATATGTTCTATTGTCCTCCATTTTTTCCTAATTGAAATTCTTGGCAACTGTGTGCCATTGGTCGTAACTGCATACCCATTCATTCATCTTCACCATTTTTTTGGACACCCCAATAGGAAGGCTTTTATTTTTTCTTATTCCATGTACAGGCTCTCATTTTAACCAAGTACAAACTCTTTATGTAGAAGAGGGGTGTCAAACTGCTGGCCCACAGGCTGGTTGCATCATGCAGAGGTTGCGCCCCCCCCAGCTCCCAGCAATGCGAAAAGTCGTGATATGTCACAACATGTCACATGATGCAGCACGTTTGACACCCGTGATGTAGGAAATCTTGTTAGGGTTTTCCTACCTAAATGTTTCCTGTTGTTCCAACCTGTTGTTATTCACTGTTTTCTCATTAAGTAATCTCATTCTCTGAAACCTGCCTTTTAAAATCATTATTAGTCTCAATTTATTCAACAGGAAACAACCATTCAATCCCTATTTGGCAGGGGTTCCCAACCGGGGGTGCGAAATGATATTCTGGGGGTGCAAAAACTTGGGTTTCAAACTTATAGTGTATGTGCATAATTTGTTGCCATTATTTTGAACTTTTGTAAGGGGTGCGAGAATATATCAGAAGCGTTCTAGAAGTGCAGGGTATAGAAACGGTTGAGAGGCACTGCTATTTGGCAATCTGCAGCCCTTGGGACACTCTACTTACAATCCACAGCTATTCAAGAAAATCACCTTTTCACAGTTCTTCACAGCTCAGCTCATAATCTATCAAAGCACACAGTAGCTTTTTGCAGTCCCTATCTTCTCTTCTTCCTGTTAGTTCACTTGACAAGCACCTGTTATTCTTGTCTGCTTGATTACTTACAAAGCACTTTTGCTATTATTATATCTTATGGACTAACCAATCAAACTCGTTGACTCTTCTTCTGATTACATATAGCTGCAGAAAAGTGATAATTCAATATACCAACTTACAAACCACTTTGATCTGGTGACTGGCTTGAGAATACTAATTTTCATACAATATGGCTAACTAATCTGGGACAGTTAAAACTAAAAATATTTTGCTCGTATTTTGGAAAAAGTAATCTAAATGAAAGGCACACAACCTACAATCTTTATGCATCCTATTTATGCTTCTTGGAACCTCTCTAGGGTGTGAGATTTGTCAAGCCTTTTTTGCACTGGGATGGTTTAAAGGGCAGAATGAAAAAGAGAAAGTTATTTATCTCAGACATAGGGACTTAAGGTAAATGTATTATGAATCAACTGCATCTAGATCAGGGGTGTCAAACTCGCAACGTCACGTGACATGTCGTGACATATCGTGACTTTTTTTCCATTGCCGGCAATGGGGTGGGCGCGGTTTTAGCATGACGCATATGGCCTGCAGGCCAGCAGTTTGACACCCCTGATCTAGATAATGATTTACAAACCTGTAAAATAATAACTATTGTTTCCTGAGGAGCTTTTAACTTAGCTTCACAATGATTGTTTGCATTACATTGAAAGAAGAAACAGTATAGGCTCTAAACATCTTCTCCATACTAATTTTAAATTAAACTGCCAAAAAGTAAAGGATGAAATAAAAAAGCACAATCAGCATACCCAAAGGTATACATATTTTTCTAAATCACATTTCATAAGTAGGTCAACTACTAAGAGACTTTCAAATGATTAAGAGGATACTTTTTAAAGAATCACAGTCTCATTAAAAATCCACAAATGCTTACAAGCAGTGAAACATAAACGTTAGAATACTTCACTATTCTGCTGCACTACTGAACCATTTTCAACCAGTTGGCACAGATCCCACCATCATTTTTGTTTTAACTCCATACTGCTACACAACCCTCTCCATTTGTTAAATTTGTTCTACCTAAACTTCTCCTTTCACCACACCCACATCCAAAATTCTTTTGCTTTCCTCAAGTTTTTCTGTTTTTGTCTCATTCCTCCTGCCTCTTCACTATCTCCAGAGCATTGAGCAAAATTACTAACTGGCTCTCCTGGGAAATGTTCTCGAAAATTTGTAAGACATCAACAAGTTATTTTTCCACCAAATTTCAACACGAAGTTATTTCCTCCTTCCCCCCCCGCCTTTATTTGGCTAAAACTAAATTCCTAGAGAGGACTTTGAGGAGGAAATCTCGAAAGATCCGTTCAGTTCTGTTGCTCCAGACAAAACTGCAGGCTTAGATTTATTTACCTGCAAGCCTTTTGAGCCAAGATCAGGTATTATATCCCATCAAGTATCATTGCACGAGATCGCCTTCTATTAAATCCTAACCTGCCCTTTGACAGGTATATAAGTTTGGTCGAATTCCATGGGCTTTACGTGTGAGTAAATATGCATGAGGACACAAGTCTCCCGTTTCTGCTGCTTGGAAGAAGCCCTCCTCGGGGATAAGGGGACTCGGGCGCTCCCCGACCCCTTGACCCACGCCCCCCTATTCCCTTCTCAATTGAGCGTAAGGCACACCTTCGTCCGGGCTCCGCCCAGTTTCCCCTACCCCCACCCCACCTGGCGGCCCGCCTCTCACCCGCCACCGCGCATGGGCCCGAAAAGGCGAGGGAACAGGGGGCACCTCCCCTCACACTCACCATGGTACAGATGGAAGCTATTTTGGAGACTGTCATTAGGATTTCCATCCGCGCAGCGCCATCTTCTTCCACCCAATCACAACGTCGAGCCGGGCCGGGGGAGTCCCGCCTGAGGAGGAAGAGGGCAGCCCGGCGGCGGCAGCGCCACCTTCAGCAGCTTACAGCGGAACCCACCAGGGCTCCGCCCGCCTAACGAAACGGCCCGTCACAGCTCTAACCGTCCAAAGGCGAGCGGCACGCGCTGGTTACGCTCCCGATCTGGCCCTCGGGATCAACCGTCCTCTCCCCGCTTTCGCTACTTGCAGGATCCGCGCGCACACCGCTGCGCGAGCCGGCCCTTCTTCCGCCCACACATGCGCGCGCGCCTGGTCGTCTCTGCGGGCTGAACCCAGATTTCGCTGGCCCTCGAACTCAACCAATCAGGTTTCACTATTCACGCACCAGCGCTCTCCCTGTCCGGTCTTGTTATTCTAGGTCTTAGAGATACCCGATTCCAGCTGCTGGGTCTGGCTTAATGGCAACCGGGTTGCTGAAACACTTGGCATCACGTATCAAGCCGTGCTTAAATTCGCTTGGATACGTGGGATGTATAAGCCATGATTTATGGTTTAATAGGCTATGGGATATCCATTTGCGACTTATCTTAGCATGGCGTAGCATGATGAAAGAGCACAGCCGATAAAATCATGAGCGCTTTCTACCAGAGCCAAGGGTTTATTTATCCGTTTAACTTTTGATTGTGGTCCTCCCCGTGTTTGGGATTTCTTGCAATAGGTTTGCACTCTTGAACTATAATTGCAATTAAGTTTAAGTTATAGCTTAATCATGGTTTAATCTTATACAAACTGGCACAATATATTCCGACGGTTTCATCAAATCTACTGATTAATTAAGCGGGATAACGTATATCAATATATCCATATTCATATAGAAGGCAGATTTTGGGGTGATAGGAGGATAGCCTCAGGTATTCCAAGTCAACGTTTAGCAATATGAAGGGCTTCAAATAACATTTATACCACCTGTAGTCACTAGTTTATAACTACTGACACGTTAAATCTAGTACATAATACAAAAAAGAGAAACTCAACATATTAAAATTTTCTTCTATTACTTTGTTTTTATGATTATTCACTACCCAGTAACACAGGTTTGAAAGGGACAGCTATACAAATTGAATAAAAAGCTTGTCAAATAATTATCCCCAATGTTTAAATGATAATAGAAAAGGCAACAGTTTGGAACAGTTACATAAATGTAAATGCTGTCTTCCTACTGCACTTCTACCTCTTGAATTTTGATTTTCCCTCTGTTCTGGAAGAGTTTTGAGCATTGTTCAGATTTTGTAATCTATAATAATAGCTACTTATTGTGCCAACATTTTGTAAACAAACTTTTTGTATACAGTAAACAGAAGGCCCTAATGGAAAAATAGAAACTGTAGAATTTTTTTAAAAGCAGAAATTAGATAATGCTATGGGTGGGCAAGTGCAAATAACCTGAGAGGAACTGAGACTGAGATTTTAAAGGTGGCAATTAATCAGGTAATGCTGCCCAGTTCTGAATATAGCAAAATATTTTAAAAGTTCTCATTTTATTTGTAATAGTGCATTGCAGGGATAATTAAAATCTAAACAGGTAAGCCATTTAGACTAATAGCCACTGGCAGCCCTATTCCTCCCATGTTTGTTTCATTTTCTTTGAGGCCATCCACAAACAATCCACAGTTGTGCAGTTGCTCAATTCCCATATCACAGAGCCCTTATTTTCATTTACCAGCTCCAAAACAATATCACTGACCTTAAAATGAAAACACCACATGAGGTAATGAATGAACCTTTCAGCTCACCAAGAAAGCAAAGACAGCCAAACAGTGTCCTTTCCACATTCTTAATTCATTGGGGGCGGGGAATAATCTGAGATTTTTCAATGAGGAGGGAGGTTGCAAAATCAGTAGCTCCTCTTTCAATCTAAAACAGCTGAAATTATTTTTCAAGAGCTTAATCTGTAGGAATAAAACCAGCCTGGGAGGATCCCACCATAAGAAAATGGCCTGTCCAAAATTGTCAATGAATTGCAGCTAAATTGATCAGCAAAGCATGGGATCAGATGGGTAGGATTTATTTATATTTCATGTTTCTTAATCCAGTATAATCTCTGCATGAGGAGGGTTTGGTTTATTTGATTTGATTTATGAATTGTGATTAGCTCAAATGAAAATGCATTAAGTAAAGATATCTTCTAAACTTTAAACTTGCAAAAGAAAATTATCAACAGATATATTTTTGTTGATATTTGTTCCTTATAATGTAGAAAAGGCAGGATATCCTAAAAGGGAAAGAATATTTCTTCAAATAAAAACAGAGTGCGGAATGTACAAATCATCAAATAACTGTAAATTATTACAATAATTTCTCTTGAATAGAATTTTAGAGAAAGGGAAGTTTTCCTTAGCATCTTATGAAGAATCATAGAAGCATTTATGGAAATAGGAATGTGAAATGAACAGGCAAGTTTCCAAAAAAGACATAACTGAAATTTGATAATGAATATACCCTGTAATATAATATTATAGAATATGAATAGAATAGTGGCATTATTTAATGACACCTTGAAATATGTAGATAATAGCATTTTAGCCAAAAGTAAAGTTTTTAGATAAATCATTATGAAAGTGAAAATGTTAATATTAAAGACATGATGCAAACAAAGATATTGTCATCCCAAATGGTTAGTGAATCTATAGTGGATAGCAATAATTTTGGTTTTGAGATTTAAGAATAGAAAGCTGAGCAGTATGCTGAACAAATGAAAAGATTAATCATAGAGGGAAAAGTACAGGTGGTCCTTGACTTACGACCTCAATTGAGCCCAAAATTTCTGTTGCTAAGTGAGACAGTTGATAAATGAATTTTACCCCATTTTACGACCTTTCTTGCAACAGTTGTTAAGTAAATCATTGTACTCGTTAAATTAATAACAATTGTTAAGTGAATCTGGTTTCCTCGTTGATTTTGCTTCTCAAAGTTGCCATCTCATGAGCTTGGGACACTGTGACTATCATAAATATGAACCAGTTGCCAAACTTCTGAATTTTGATCACATGACCATGGGGATACTACAGCAGTCATAAGTGTGAAAAATGGTCATAAGTCACTTTTTTAGTGCTGTTGTAAGTTTGAACCATCACTAAATGAATTGTTGTAAGTCGAGAACTACCTATAATAATAATTTTAGACAAGATCATGAATAAGGACATTTCAATGACAACAAACATCAGTTGTTTTTCCAGTATTAATATATAATTGTGAATATTGCTCACTGAAAACAGCAAGACAAAGGAGTTATCTTTAAATGTAGATTTCAAGAAAATTATTAAGACTATCATAGATTGAAAAAAAAGGTAAGATTGAACAAACCATTTGGATTGTGATTATCAACAAATATATACTAATAACCACAATCCAAATGGTTGGTTTAATCTTACCTTGTTTTTTCAATCTATGGTAGTCTTAATAATTTTCTTGAAATCTACATTTATGTAGAAATACAAGAGGAGGTTGATTGATAAGATGGAGGACAGATTCAAAAGACTGCTTAAATATCTTTGAAAAATCCAACAAATATAGAGGGTTTTTGCCCATACAATCATTAAGTGTCAACTCAAATTGAGAGCATCTAATTAATTTAAAGTACTATGGATTATTTAAATTTATTTGGAAGTGTCAGTAATTGAATATTACTATTGCAACTAATGTTAATTTATATTGCTCCTTACATCCTAGATGTCCTGTAAGCCAGGGGTCCCCAACCTTTAGGCCATGGCTCACTACTGGGTCATAGCCTATTGGCCACAAGCCGTGTGAGTAGCTGGCCAGTACAGCATGTGCACATGCATACACAGCACCACTCACACAAGCATCACAGGTGTTCACGGCCCCACTTGCACGAGCATCGTCACAAGCATTGCGTTTGTGGCCCCACTCATGCAAGTGTCTCGGGTGCTCGGGCCCCCACTCGAACAAGCAACAGGTGTTCGTGTGCTCATATGCATTCACCCTCCCCACAAAACCTTATATGTTATTTTAATTACTTTGGAATATTCAGAGAATTGTGCTATACAGTAAAATTTCCTACTTCGATGCAGTGCATTTGTTTGGCATAATTTTTCCTGTAACACAAAACATGTTAATTAGAAGGAGCTTGTTCTCTGCTGATTGTTCAGCCATTATTATGTTTATGCTACAATAAATTTTTAAGCAATGCTGTCTTCCTTACCAAGAAAAGTGGAAGGCTAATTTTGATTGGCTTCCTTTCTCACTCTATTATACTATATAATTTCCTCTCAAAAAAAATATGCTGTAGTTTTGTTCCTAATTACTTGCAGATGGTCAGCTAATTTAAACTTTCCATCTGGCTATAATCCAAGGATAAAAATCTCTATTGGTTATGAATACACCCTGATGAACAGATTCCATCTGTTTGAGTCTTCTTTACATATCTGTATCAGAAATGCTACTGTTAAACTAAATGAAAGACCATCAAAACACTGATTGGAAGGAACCAAGTATTGCTTGTACAAATTCTTATTTATACCAAATAGCTCTCTAAAATATTTTAGAGTCCAAAAAAAAAGTTTAACATGGAATGTTATTAACATGGTTTTTTCTAGCATTTTAAGGATTTTAGAATTGGCTGAAAGACATGAAATTTTTTTTTAGCCTTTTTGGCTTTGGGTATATAATGTTTGAATGAAGTAATAAGTTCTCCTTCCTAAATAACCTATGTAATACAAATATGGATAAATGTATTCCTTTTATTTTTCTACAGAATGGAAAACTATGGACAACAATTAAATTGGGGTGTTATTCAATTATACAAGCAATTAATAAAGTACAAATTTACAGTATGTATTTTAATCAAGTCCAGCCCCTATTAAAGATATGCTCATGAGCTTGCTATAAAACCAATTTGAATTTTCCAAAATCATATGACCACTGAGTTGTTTAGTCAGATAAAGCTGTTAATTTATTAAATACCTTAATATTAGACATGGAAAGAATAGGCTATATATTCCCATGTTCACTGAACTGGGAGAAAGCTTCATTGGATAATATATCCTTTTGCTTAGGTACATAAAGAGAATTAAGACATATCTACAATTTTTAAAAAGTATTTCAAGACAGTAAGTGACTTGTACATTGCTATAGCATGACCTGTTTTGTTTCAGCTTCCTGTTGTGTGAACCGTTTCCTTTTTTTTTAACATGGTCTATAATTTAGCATTATATATGAATCTGCATAATAGTTTTCATTAATAAGATAAGATGTGGATGAAATGAAATGAACAAAGTCTTAATAAATTACTTAACATTTTTAAGGTTGCAAAATATCAGGATGTTGTTAGGGTCTTATTTTTTTGTGGAACATTCTCTGTTGTGTAATTATGACAGGCATTTACAAATACAAATCTGAAATATTGTCCTCTGCTTAATTTTGAAAAGCGAAGTCTCCTGACACTTATTTTTCAACTAGAAGTCCATTCATGATATCAAATTATTTGAAATTATTTAGTATCTACCTAAACACTATACCTACTGCTAAATCTGAATTGAATTTCTGCCCAAACTTGCTGTAAAATGTGCACTTGGGATTCAGTGTAATCAGAAACCATGGTATATAAATTACGGTGGTTAGCTTATGCTGAGCCAAAAATAAAACTACATTGTGTGCATTGAGGAAAACCTCCAACTTTCAATCCATTAACTTCAACTTTCAATCCCTAAAAGTCCATACTATATTGTATTAAGCTGGATTCACATATTAGAGTAAACCATACTTGATTTTGGCATAGCATATTGATGAATATAACCATTGTAATTTGCAGGCTATAGTTTAACTATCCCAAAGGTGCTTTTCAAAAGGCAACTGAACTTTCTTAGTTTTTTTTTCTTGAAGATGTATCTTTTCTCGTCCAAGCTTTCTTCAGTTCTGACTGAATAGTGGGAAATGGAAGAATTTATTTTTTGCAGTCATCTAGCCATTAGCTGAGGGTCGTTGAGGCCACTTGGGGGTTTATCTGTATTTGCACTGATTTATCTGATTCAGGTGACTCTGCGGGTACAGGTAAACCCCCCAAGTGACCTCGATGTCTCGGAGAGCTAATGACTAGATGATTGCAAAAAATAAAATCCTTCCATTTCCAGCCAGAACTGAAATAGCTTTTTGGATGAGAAGCGAAACGTCTTCAAGAAAAAAATTCCAATTGCCTTTGGAAAATCACCTTTGGGACAACCACGACCTGGAGGATTGAGAATCTCCATAGACATTGGTTTAGAGCTAATTATGCTGGGTGAATCATTCAAGTGCTGGCTTATGTAACCCTGGGAGATCGTCAACCTTAATCCTGTACGCAAGTAATAAGCTGCAGAACTGCTCGCGTTCACACTCCTACGACTTGTCTCCAAAACTCCACCTACCGCACTACTAATAGTACAAACACCCCGCTTTTCTTTCTTAGCCTCATGAGGGCCCCCCTTAGAAAGCTGTCTAAAGCAGTGCATGCTCCAGTTCAGTATCGTAACGTCTGAGAAATCCCAGAACATTTATTCTGTGGCGACTTAAATGTTTGCCTTCTTCCTATTTTGTTTAACTTGCTGCGCGAACATTGTCAGTTTTTCAGCCCAGGTCCTTCGGCGACCACTAACCATTTTTCAATCGGGCACTTTTAGGATGAGCGGATCAGATCAGCCCCCCCCCCCGCGCTAAACCGGAAGGAAGGCGCGGAGATTTCGCGAAGCGCCGCCTTCTTTCTTTTCGGCCTGTGGACGCCATCTTGCAGGTCCCCGGAGGAGTTCGGCTGCTCCTCTTTTTCGTCGGGTCCGGTAAGCGGAGGGTCGCGGGAGGGCAACAGTAGCACCGGGGCTGGTCGGAGAAGCGGCTGAAAGAAAACTGGCTCGCTGAAACTCCGGGAGGCCTGGACATTTTTCAGAACGTGGCTTGGGGTGGCCCGGAGAAATAAGGGCCAGGCTAGGAGCGTAGGGAGACCGACAGGGAGACGAGCGCGGGGGGAGGGGAGGCTAGGAAGGTAGAAGAGCGAGAGAAGGGGGTGAGCTTTGATCCGGGCCTGAAGCGAAGTACGGGGGGGGGAGCGGCGGGGGGGAGTGGAGGGATGGCATCCAGGCGCACGTGGCCAAGGCCCAGCAGGGTAATCGCAGCTTTGAGCTGAAGAAGCTTCTTGGTCCATGAGAAGCGAAACGTCTTCAAAGAAAACCGAAGCCCAGTTGCCTCTTGAAAAAGCACCTTCGGGACATAATGCCGTTTAGTAACTTGAGCACGTGCTTTGAATACAGGGGGGCCCGAAGCAGGCGGGGGGGGGAAGAGATGTTGCCTTGCGACTTAGAAATCACAAAAATCTGCATAAACATGATCGGGTTACTGAGTCAGTCTGCGATCTGGCATGGTAGGGTTGTGTATATTTTTCCAAGCAGTTTAATCTAGGTTTCTCTAACCTGGTGCCTACCAGATAAATTGGGATGTGGCTTATTTGGGAAGCCAACAGTTGGAGAGTATGCCTGCTCGATACACAAGACATTATACGTAGGTCTTGGGAAGTCACATCTGTCATATCTGTTTAACTCAGTGGTTCTCAACCTTTTTAATGCCGTGACCCCCCAACCGGTCGTAAGTTGAGGACTACTCAACTGTCGTAAGTCAAAGACTACTCAACTGGTGCAGCATCTTTGCAGAATGAGACTATTCAAGAGAGTCTATTCTATTGGCTTTCAAAAGCCAATAGAATAAAAGGGAGTAGCACAGCTAAGGAAAAGTGGTGAAAATGGCGGACTGCGTTGTTTGGTGACCCCCGTGAAATGGTCATTTGGCCCCAAATGGGGTCCCGACCCACAGGTTGAGAACCACTGGTTTAACTTTTTAAAAAATTAGACTAAAAATATGGAGGTACTGAACGCTTAAATCCGCAATCTTCTGCGTTGCTTGTAGTTACATTCTTTTGCTATTATAAAAGGCCATTTGGTTTCTTCTGGATGGAGTTACAGTAGTGTGGGGGAGAGGTTACAAGAGGAAATTTACATACCGTAGGTTATCACATTCCGAAAAGACAAAGCTCAGATCTTTGCAATGTTTTTCTACGACCTAGAGGCTCCCTCTTCTTAAAGTAGAGACTACATTTGCAATCCTTTGCTTGTAGTCTGATGAAATTGAATTGGAATGGACATTGCTGTATTAATTTCAGAAATACTTTATTCTTGTGCATTCAGTTGAGTTCTAATTATTAATACAATTCTGGTGTACATCAAAGTAACTACAATTAGATTACTAAAACAAAATTTTTTTCCATACTTGCATTTTATTAAACTTTGTGCTCTTTCAAATTATTGAATTGGATAATTTGGGATGGAAAGAATTAAATTTTGAACAGTGTAGTTTGAACAGATTGTTAACATTTGAGACACTTGCTTTGTGTACTAGGCTACTCCATTCTGTCTGCTGGGGACCGGAAACAAATTTCCAGGGTATTGAATAAGGGAAGGTTGATCTAGCTGTCACAAGCAAATCCCATGTGTGTAGTATGTCCATCTTAGCTGAGTAAATAAGAGTATAAGTCTGACCTTACAATAGTCTTTCTTCCTGCCTTCTGAGAAAACCATAAAAAATTGCCCAATCAAGCATATAAGAATCTAATAGAGTCTTAAAGGATTTTGTGTGAAAATTGTATTTTGACAAGGCTTGCTCATTTCATATACAAATTACCATGCTCAGTCTAACAAGATTCAAGAGCTAAAAATGTTTTTTCTGACAAATTCTATTGATTATAGTCATGTGCGGTAACAAGAAAGCATCACTATTTTAGTATTTACTAGAAATTCCATTTAAATTTAACAGTTATCTTTATATATATTTTTCTGAATTGTTATATACTGATTATTCTTAGTGATCAATCAAGATGACAAACACAAAAGGAAAGAGGAGAGGGACACGTTACATGTTCTCAAGACCCTTTCGCAAACATGGTAAGTAATATTTATTGAGCCAGTTAAATTTAATAAAATGATGGAAATAAAAATGTTGGTTGAATCCCTGTCTGTGTGGAGTATATAACCTGCATTATAGTTAAAGGAATACCAACATCACATAATTTAAAGTTAACCATTAAGTTTGTCTAATGCCTACTGTTGATCATTATTGGGGGAAAGATTCTTTAATTCTATTTTTAATCCTTAATAAGGGATTGGGGTATTAAAATGCATGAAATTAATTAAATATAAGTAATAGTTGCATTTTTTAAAAAAAACAGGTGTTGTCCCTCTTGCTACCTACATGCGAATCTATAAGAAGGGTGATATTGTTGATATTAAGGTATGTTTTTTTAAAAATTACTTTCCTGAAACTAAAATTAGGCTACAGAACTCTTATTACTTTATTAAAATAAAAGTGTAAAACACAATAATATAAAAGGATAAACAGTTGTCTTCAAATTATATTGCTGAACTTTGTGCATGATTGTTGTATCTTTAATATTTAATTTGTTGTATTAATGTTTGTCTTATTTAATAAAAACATTAAAAAGATGCAATTTTTAAAAGTAAAAATTATGTGGTCGTAATGGAGCATCTGTAATCAGATGTGCAGTACTTCACTTGAGATTGGATATAGTTTTGGTTCTTGAAAAACACTAGTGATAATTTTAAGTTTAATCAAATGGTCTATGTTAAAATTTTGCTGAATTTTTCATGCAAAGCCTAATTTGAGTGTCTGATTTTGTAATGCTGCATTACATTATTTTAATACTCTGGTGCTTGATGATGACTCTATCCTGTGATTGCTTTGTAATAACTAAAGCAAACTGAGCAAAACATTTCACCGGCACTGAAAGCAAACCAGAGACATTATCTAGCTCTCTATGAGATAGGCCTTCAGATAAAGTAATAAAATTATGATAGGGGTTTATGCTGGTTTATAATGTAATAAAGATGTGACATAGTGATTAGTAAGCTATGTATGATTCATTGGGTTCCTAATGGGCCCATACCATTCACAATTTAGTAGCTGTTGAATAAAATTACTGGAAGATTGGGGTTCAGTGAAAACGGAAAATAGCTGAGTAGATTACCTAGACAGTAAGTTTATTCTGGTTTGACTAGAAAAGCTTATACTGTGGGAGCAGATCAACAATTATATTCATGAATTTAAGAACATAGGCATTCAATTGTAAATAATTCATTGATGTCCTTTCCTAAGATATTTTCAGTAAACATTCCCAGGCATTTTTATTTATAACTATTTATGGTGTAACTTTCTGTATTAACAGGGCACAGGGACAGTTCAAAAAGGCATGCCCCACAAATGTTACCATGGCAAGACTGGAAGAGTATATAACATTACTCAGCATGCTGTGGGCATTATTGTGAACAAGAAGGTTAAGTAAGTGCATTCCTTGTTTTTGACTTTACTCCTCATTACTGAATATTATTATGTTAAAATGTGTCTCTTTCCCCTTTTACTTTACCAATTAGACATTTCTTGTCTTAATTGGTCATTCAGAGGGGGTTACAGCAATTATCCTTTTAAAAACCCAGCCAGATTATATTTAATTGGCTTGGAGCCTGTCAGAGGAAACAGACACTGAATCTCTTCTGCAACAAAATATAGTTTGGGAATGTCAAGACAATAGACCCATGCTGACTTGCTCTCACTGATCTAGTTTTGGTTATTAAAAAAGAAAAAATGCTAAAACTCTGATGTTGGCCATATCTTTTTTCTCCTAGAGGCAAGATCCTTGCTAAGAGAATCAATGTGCGCATTGAACACATTAAGCATTCTAAGAGCCGAGACAGTTTTTTGCAGCGTGTGAAGGAAAATGAAAGAAAGAAAAAGGAAGCAAAGGAAAAGGGCACTTGGTTTGAGTTAAAACGCCAGGTAACACTGAGAATATGTCTTTAAGTAGTCGGTACTAAAGCAAATCTAAAGTTCCTTTGAGAAACACCTGGTATGTAAAAATGTTGAGAATTGTTTAAATTTGTAACAAGACCAAAAAGTGTGTGTGTATATGTGTATACATACACACACGCGCGCGCGCGCGTGTGTGTGTGTGTGTATTAGTCAAATAACCAGACCTGATTTTTAAGTAAATTCCATGGTTGTTAAGCTAATATCACAGTTCTTAAGCAAATCAGTTTTCCCCAATGGGCATTTTTTTGCTAGAAACCAGCAAAAATGTTGCAATTTGTGGTAGGTGACTATAGGATGCTGTAAATGGCTATAATTCCGAACAAGTTATCAACTGTCCAAAGTGCTATTGTGACTGGAGTGTGTGTGCCATCATAACTTTAAAAGCAGGACATAAGTAGCTCTGGTGAGGATTTTGTTGTAGCTTGGAATGGTCATTAAGTGTCTGGTCGTAAGTTGGGAACTACCTGTAAATAAAATATTCTGTCTTTAGTTTATATAGTGTTTAAATGTTTAGTTTATATAGTGTTTAAATGTTACTGTTACTGCAATTTAATCTATTGTCTACTGTCATAACAAGCTAAATCTGAAAAAGATCAAAGGAAGCATGAAGAGTAAAAAAATTGATTTTAGAGTTGTCAGTCACCTTATTAAAAGAACTAGCTTAATTTGACTGGCTTAAAAAGACTTAATTTTTTTTATTTGCTCTTAAGACACGTTCCTAATTTTGAGGAAAGACAAGTGATCTAATTATTAAGTGCTCTGTAAAAAAGCTTTTTTGATAATATTTTTCACTATTGTAACTCACACTTCTTTTGTATTCTTGTTTACAGCCTGCACCTCCAAGAGAAGCTCACTTTGTTAGAACTAATGGCAAAGAGCCAGAGTTGCTGGAACCAATTCCTTATGAATTCATGGCATAGTGTGTATGAGCAAAATAAAATACCTTGAAAAGGACTGAAGTACTTGTTTGCATATTCAAAATTATTATTTCTGAATTGAAAGTTCTGTATTCCTATTTACGATATATGTTATAATTCAGCATACAATTAATTATGGGCAGAAACTATCACCTAAGAGATAGCTATTTTTTTGTGAACCATGAATTACTTGCCTGTTAATACCCTGCAGTTAGTTTTTATATATAAATAGGAATATTCTTAAAATTAATCCCCAGTGCCTTCTGAATTAAAAATACTTTAGAGAAAGAAAATACTGGAATTATAAATCTAAAGAATGTGACGTTTATTAAAAAAATGCTGTTTCTGTTTAAATTGTTTCTGACAAGTAGCATATTTCTCAAATTCTTTTCTTGGTTTGCTAATAAGATACTCTCCACTCTTAATGATTTGGCACTATGACTTTCTGTTGTTTCCACGAACTACTAAAAAATAGTAACATTCAGACAACTAAGCCAAGCCAAAAGTGGCAGCATGTAAATACAAAGCCTATCTGCTACTGCTATGAGCTGTCATAAGACAGCCATTACAGCCATTTTCATAAAGTTGAGCTCAGTTGGAATCTACCTTTAAGTAGAGTTAAACTGCATATGTTTGGCCTGATTCATGCTGCATATAATGTGTGAACCTGCTGATTATGCCTTAGTGATGTGTATATAAACCAGGTATTTCGACTGATTTCTGTACATAAGGCAAATTGTCTTCACACAAATTTCAACTTTTTTTTCTACTGCAAGAGATGAAAGGTTTCTGATGTTGAAATTGTTTGAAATCAGGCAAATCAGGCTTCATACTACTACAATGTTTGATTTCCATAAATAAAGTGCAGGGGTTTGTGCTTTGTGCCTTTACATGGTGGTATTTTTATGGACATTACAAATTACTGCTTGACAGAATGAGTTTTGAAATAGGCTTTAGACTTTGGGGGTTTGCTTAGTTGATTTTGTTTTTTTGAGCAGTTAAGAGCATGTCAGAACAGTATAGAAATTATATAATCCCACAATATTTTAAACATTTAAATGCAGTGAAAAATGAAAAGGGTGGGAGAGAGTGCTTTTTATCCTTCTCATTTCCTTCCTCAAATACGTATTTAGACTATATGCATCATAGTTTTGTGAAGAAATAAAAAATGAAAGATTTGGACAATTGCAAGAAAACGTAAGATTTTATATTTTAGTCAATGGATAACCAAGTCACAAAAAATGAAATTTTAAGAGTGATGGTAAATGTTCATGATACGGTTGTGCATAATGCTTTACCTTACAAGTGGTCCTTGACTTACAACTGGTTGCTTAGCAACCATTCGAAACTACCAACACCTTGATTTGAAGTTCTGGCATGTATATGCGCACACATGTCACATGACCACTTTTTGGGCACTTGGCTATCTGCCCACAATTCACTGCTGTTTGTAGTGCCCTACATGGAAACCAATGTTTACTTCACATTTCTAGCAAAAATCACCCCATAGCAAACAATGGGCTTGCTTAATGACCATGGCATTTGCTTAATAAATGCCACAAAAACTGTTGTAAAATCTGGGTCTCCTTTTCAATTGTCATTACTTATAAATCAGTATTATGGGCTTAATTACAGTCATAAGTTGAAGACTATATTCATGGTTTATGGAGTATGCCACGATTCATTGGGTTTTATGCAATACTAAGTCATAAAGTGGTTCATAAATCACAATGATTGGATTCACCAAAAATTTTAAGCCTAAATCCAGTAAACTAATTGTGCATTTCCTATATTGTGTGAATCAGGACACTGCCATTCTCATCCTTAACCAAGATGATAGAGGCCTGTATTTGGTTAATTTCAGATGAACTCTGTTTCAGTTAGAACTGTTTTTAAGATTTACCTTTGATGCACACCTTAATTTTTATATATGGCTCGTAAAGAGTCTGTCCATTGTTGCCAAGTAGTAACAAAACAACCACTGCATTGAGTTATGGCTAGTTATGGTTGAATTGTTCATTGTAGAGCCACAGATCTTTTAAGATATCATTACACCTTTCCCAACAGCATTTTTTTTTTAGAAAAAAATAGAGATGGATCCAAAAGTTACTTGATAACGTCCTTTTCCCCAATTGCTAAAAGCCATACACAAATTAGTCCCTATTGACATGAATCATTAGAGAAAATTGGAGAGTGGGGAGTGGTGACTGCAAAGAAGCTGTAAAGGAGGCTTGCAGGAGAGCTTAATTTGTAATGATTAGTCACTGAACTTTTGATGTCATGTTTTGTAATGTTGAGAGTGTATATTGTCACCTGTAGGCTTTTGTTTCTGTGAATCTCTCTTTTGTACTCTTCACTGAACTTCATGTTTTCAGGTCTTTTTTTTAATGTTTCTGAATCTTCCCAGACCCCTCCTTATTTGTTCCTATTGTATATTTCATCTCATTTTGTATCAGTTCTTCCTCTCACCCCCACACCTGTCACTTAACCTTCCTTTCTGAGCTTGAGTCATTGTTCTTTTGCACACAACAGATAGCTAATTTTGTTGGTTCGAAACAGCAGTAGAAGAAAAGGCTGCTTTTCCTGGGCTATGCATGTTTCAAGACTACCTACCTACAAAGGCAGCTGTTGAGATCAAGATCAAGGAGGGCAGGCTCAGGCAAAGGCATTTGTGAAAGGGAAGCACTTTTCTTGGGGAACAAGATTTTAGATTCTAAACTTAATATTAAGTGTGAAGAATTGGCTTCCTCGTTGGATGCATTATTTGGTGACTGTTACAGCAGCATTAACTGGGCATTTGCAATGCTAGTGTGATATATATCTGGTCTATGCAAAGGTTGTGTTCATATAGCACGCTCTGCTTGTTTAACCACAGTTTACTAAACCATGATTTACTGAACCTACTAAACATAATATACACTAACAACACCTAAACAAATAAAATCATGGCTTATCTGATGCATCCTCCTATGCTGATGTTTTAAGTCGTGTATTTCTGTACCTGGAAATTTCCTGGTATAAAATATTCCAAAATAGTTATTTGACTTTAATCTTTGGTAACAACTATGTTGAATCTGCTGAGAGAGGCAAGTGGATGCTGACTATAAATTGAAAAAAAAAAGATGATAATACCCATCTGTCTTCTGAACTAATTTCTTACAGCTAGAAGTACTTGGGGGGGGGGGAGAGTGATGCAATAATTTTTCAACTGTGATTAGTGTATTATAACAACAGGATATATTTAGCTTTTTTGCACAGCTTTTTGTTTTTGACTAAATGGCTCCTATACTATTTGGAAGTTATTTGGAGTGCAACCTGAGAGAGCATTAAAAGGCAAAAATACTTTTGCTGTTATCTTTTGCAAGGCAATTTGAGGTAGACTCCATACTGGTTGTATTTAATGTTATTGATGGGTGTGAGGATACCTTGATTATGGATTTTATAATCTTTTTTTATATTTTTATTCTTAAATTGTTTTTGAATTGTTTTGCTGTTTTAGAGCCATCCAGAGTCTCATATTTGAGGGGGCAGCTACATTAATTGATATGATGTAATAAATACTATGAAAACTATATATAAAATCAGTTTGTAGTATATGCCAGGGAAACTTCATGGCTCTGATTTTTCTGCCATGGTACAGGGTTTTGAGTCAGTATTCTGTGATTGGACAATTAAAATGCATTTTGGAATTCTGATCAAAATTCCTTTTTACTGTAAAAAAATTGAGTGGGGGAGGGTTGAGGCATTAAAACCTA